TTCTTCAATTGGGTCCCTCATCCTTCAACTTCTTTCCAATCCTTCGTAAAAATCCCCCTTTTTACTCATGAACCTAACAAGGAAAACAAAGATAAAAACATATTAGTTAAAATAAAATAAAATAAAACTAAAATAAAATCCTATTAAAAATTGGAATTATGACAGGCGTGCTTTAGGGAATAATGTCTGGATTGCATTAATTAGGCACTATAAAATAGGAAAAGAAAAATGACTACTATTTTCACAAGCATTAAAAATTAATCAAAAAATAACATATAACAATTAAAATTACCTTTTGTTGATAAGATATAAAGGTGAAATACTGTCCATCACCAATTTTGAGATCAAAATTCAAATACTCCAAGAACCATGTCCATGTGCTTGTGCTTTCATTTTCGACAATGGCCCAAGCAACAGGATACATTTGATTATTCGCGTCCCTTCCGATGGCTGATAGTAATTGACCATTGCAAGGACCTTTGAGAAATGCACCATCTAGACCGATTATTAGTCTACAACCAGCTATAAATCCTTCCTTCAGTGCAGCAAAGCAGACATAGAATCTTAAGAAGACAGGTTTAGAATTTGGTGTAGGCCTCCTTGCATCAATTGCAACTGTAGAGTTGGGATTCTTCTTTAAAAGCTCCAATCTATAATCATATAACCTGCTGTATTCCTTTTCACAATTGCCTTCAACTGGATATTAATTTGGGTTGCTACAATAGCTGAAATACCTCTTGTCTTAATGAAATATCTAGCTATAGTCCTTGGTCTAACCCTTCTATTGTTCAAACTGTAACTACAAGTATGCTCATCCTGGTATGTCTTTATCATCCAACTTCTTGTCCTCCCATCCAAAGAAAGTAGCAAAACCCAATTGCACCTCTTAGCTGCACATATAACCCTCACTCTTTTTTTATCATTTTTCTTCAACACTATCTCTCTTCGCATATAAATAGATTGCGTAAGAATTGCATCTTTAAACTGCTTCCTGCTAAAAAATATCATTCCTATTTCAAATTGTGGAATGACTGTTGATTCATCAAACACCTTGTGTAGTGAATGCCTTCTTCTTACTTCTTCTACCTCACTATCATCACTAGTTGTAACAAAACTAACCTCATCATCAGAATCAATTGAATCGCTGACTCCTTCCTCAACATATGCTTCACTTAGATCAACTAAAGCCCCTTTTATTCCAACATAACTTAAGAGTATCCTTATATTGATTCCTTGCAAATTGCCACTCCTTATCCTCATTGTCGGTCAGCTAAGGAACATCGATATACTCATCACCACTTAGCACATCTTCGATTCTTCCATTTGCATCTCCTGAATTTCTATTATGTTATGCAACCATTTGGCATTCTTGGGTAACAGAACCTAAAGCATTTTTGTCCTCTAAATCAACTTCAACCCCATATGTATGGCAATCTACATTACATGCTACTGTCTCACCAACCATTACAGCATCATTTAGTGAGCCATTATTTCCGTGGGAGGGCCCACCTTTTGTCACATGTCTCTGAATTTGGGATTCGTGTTCAACATACACATCTATATACCCATTAAACATTAGTAGTTGAAACATATCTTCAATTGACTCATCAGAAATAATTAACACAAGGCCATCATCATCAAACCTCTTTGCAGGATGTTTATACCATACAAAATCTGTCAAGCCATCCATGTCTATGTTTAACTCTTGTAATTTCTCTCTAAAAACAGTAGGTTGACATCTACTTGGTTTGAACCATATGCTATAAAAAGTACCACCAACATACCGAATCATTGGATTCCTAATAAATTTGCCTCCAAAATTCAAGTATATACCATATTCAATACAATTAGTCATTTCATGAGACCTACAAACATTTGGAACCACATATCAAAAAAGAACAAAGCAACAAACTCTACTATACTTTATTGAAACCTAACCCAAAAAGCATGTCCATAAAACATAAATTATCAGTTGATTATTACCTTTTTGAAAGCCTTCACAAGCCTCGACAATTTGCTTGCTCCAAGCATAATGTCTTCACCTTTTCAAAGATTCCTGTAGTGGGTACTCTGTAATTCTTGTTCATTGAGCTTTTCACAATTTGGAAAATAAGGAGAGAGTGGGTTAAAAAAATCCACTCATGTGATGGACACTAAACTCCAAGTGGGAACAAAATTTTTTTTGCCTCCTATTTTGGCTGCATTCTTTTTGCGCCGATTCCTCTGTTTTATTTTTCCGCGCCATATCCTCTGTAAACTAGAAAGAAGAAACAAAAATACAAACCAAAAGAAAAAAAAATGGTCCCACTTGTCTAAAAAAATTAATAAACAATAAGTTGGATCTGTGACCGTTAGTAATTAACGATCAAAATTAATGGAAGTATGGATGGCATCCCATTAGGGATGACATTGAACAAAAAATGTGTAGTAAAGGGATGACATTTATACTATAAGGAAAGTAGAGGGATGACATTGAATATTTCCTTAGTAGAGGGATGGTAACGAACAATTTCACAAAGTACAAGGACCACAGTTGGCTTTAACCCAATTTTGATGAGGTATTTTTTATGAATTTTTTTGCCGATTCGAATCTTCTACCCCTTTTCTTTATTAATTTCTTCTGATCCCTTCATCTTTTCTTTTCTTTTCTTTTCTTTACTTGCCTTGTTCTTGTTTTGGCCCTTTCTTCTTCCACTTTATCTTTCTGCGTTTTCTTTTCTTTTTTATTTTATTTCTATTTTGGTTTCTCCAGTTTCCTCTTTTTCCTCTCCGATGTAGCCTCCTTCTTTCTTTTCGCTTTCTTGCTCTTCCTTAGTCTTTTCTAGTGCTTGAATTAGCAATTTCAGACAAGTTTCAGCATCTGCCCCCGATGTCTTCAGCATCAAGTTCTCTGCAATGTCAGCCGAAGTCATGTTTGTCTTGTCCGAGCAACTCTTCAATCCCGATTCAATGTGCATGTCCATCCTCCCTCCCCGGATCAGAGCCGGGTCGAGTTGCTCCACACGGTTCGTGGTGAACATGATTACTTGTCCTTTAGTGCACTCTAACTAAATCCCGTTGATGAAATTCAAAAACCCAGATAAAGTTACCTTGCTTTCATCACTCCACTCGTGCCATCCTGCTGGGTGGATGACATCGCTGATCGTGGATTGCATTAGGATGGTCCTCGAACAGTGCTTCCACGGCCGGCCCACGTAAGTCCCGAAGTTGCCCCTTATGCGTTGTAAATCAGGAGTGGCACCGATTCTGCATTTCTGGATGACGATTCCAGTATTTTGATGTGGGCCGTGACCATGATTTTCTGTCCGAGACTGGGTCGTCGTGCGTGGATATCGCAATCCTTTAATAACACCGTTGATCCGTTGAAGCACCAAGCCAAAGCACCAAGCCATTGCCCTCCGCGTATTCATGGCGATCTCTCCATTTTCTCCGGCTTCTTACAAACTAGTTTGCCAGTTTTTGTCAAAGGGTTGCTGCAAGTATGCCAGTAACTGTTGGTTTCTGCATCCCGATAATCAATCTCTAGTCGCCGTTAAGAAACTGGCTCATTCAACTTGAGTACTGCCCACTCTTGCTGTTGATTTTCTGCAGGTATCCTTGCTTCCTTTTATGTTGCTTTGTTGATGTTGAGGTTTTTCAAGATGTCCCTCTTTTTTCATATGCTTAGCTTTACAGTTCTTTTTGTTGAACACGCTCTTATGTTGTCGTGCATTGGTTGTGTTTTAAGAACAAATGCTCTGTTTTTAACTTGAGTTTTGGTCATGCTTGGTATAGGGGTGGAGCCAGAATTTTTTTTCAAGGGGACGAGATAATTTTTTATATGCTAATTTACAAAATTTTTAAATTCTAGGGGAGAGATAATTTTTCATATACTAATTTCTAAAGATTTTCAAATTTCAGGGCTAGCGCCCCCCTCGCACCCCCCTCCCTCTGCCACTGCTTGGTATTATGTCTTTTCATTGAGATTATATCACATGAAAAATATGTTTTCTTATATTCTGAAATTTGCATTAACTTTTGTAGCGCATCTTGCGTAGCTTTTGCCAGGGTATTTATGTACACCCAAACTTGCTCGTAGCTTTTACCTGCGTAACTTTTGCTTGGGTATTTCTGTACACCCAAACTTGCTCGCAACTTCTGCTTGTGTAACTTTTATTTGGGTATTTATGTACACCCAAACTTGCTCGCAACTTTTGCTTGCGTAACTTTTGTTTGGGTATTTATGTATACCTAAACTTGCT